AACACAAACACAATCCAGGGCTCATGGTCCTCTGGGGGTTAGAAAAGCATTTGGGAAAAGGGATGATGACTATTAGTTAATTAGACTTTTTTCTCTCTTTCAGTGTTTGATATTTCCAGCTACTTTTGACTGTCTCTTGACTGGGAGTAGAGGTGGGTTTAACTGAGAAAAGAGGTGGCTCTTCAGGCAGGCTGAGAGGAACTCAAATCTTTTCCTATCACAGAGGTAGCACAGTACCATCTTGTTTAGTTTTGCTGAGTGGGCTCTGCTGGAGCTAGAAATGATGCCTGAGAAAGATCTACACCTGGACCCTTCACCATGCTTCTTCTGGGCCATTACAATTATAGTAGCATGTACTCCTTCAGAATACTAAGTAATGCAATTTTGATGTTTGAGATTCTTCACCCAGTGGCATTTTACTCCCTAAACCAAGGTTTTCTTTTTAGACACATTGTTCAGACTGTTCAGAAAAGTGCTGAATGAGCCCTGCCATTTAGGGCTCCATGAGATACAGCACATGCTAAAATTATTTGTGAGTACAGACCCTTCAGGGCTGAGGTTTGAAATATCACTGAGAAGAGGCACTGTGAGAAATAAAGAATCAGTTTTATTACAAGCAAATATAAGGCGTATCGTGGAGTTGTAAGATGCCGGATTCAGCCTGGAACCGGTGTCAGGGAAACATGCGGACGGGAATAAGGAACTGTAAAATGAATATTAGTAAGGAAATCCCTTATGCCACATGGCTGATCCTGAGAGATGCCATACTACTGGACACTCCACATCCTAACACGACACAGCCAATCAAGGAGAGGGAAACGCCTCTTCTATGATGTAAACAGGGTTGAACCTTAAGAATGTTTAAAAAGCGTGACTTTTGAATTGGAAGGGGTGTTCCTGGGAATCAAGTATGCCTAGGACACCCAACATGTGTTGTAATTTTTCCTTTTCGTTTTATTCCTTTTGTTTTGCAAGCTTTTGCCGTTTTTCTAAATTTAATAAAATGAAATTTTTCTCACAGCACCAAAAGAATTCTGCTCATTCTCGTGAGCTGGGAATTTAGTCTCTAGCTAGTGAACTGGGAATTTAGTTGTCATGGCCCTACGGAGATTGGAGGGAATTCCAGCACAGGATCCTCTGGTGATATCAGGGCAAGGTAGTTGGATGGAAAACATCCAGGGCTGCTGGACAGACCCACTTCTGAAATGGACAGCTGTGTCTGGACAGTCTTCTCTAACTTTTTACTCTCCAAGATAAAGAGAGTGTCCAGATGAGGCAGTAGATTTCTAATCTGTAACCCATATCATCTGTTTTGGGGGCACAGTTACCTTTTCTCAGGAATGAAAGCCCACAGCTGATGAAAGCTGAACTTTTTATCTTCCTCACTGCTGCAGTCTTATCATACACAGGACTTTAATCCCACACAACACTTAAGAAATATAATCATTAAAGATCTGAGTACACGTTTTGAGATAAGATTGGTTCATGATATTATTACTGATTGCATAATTATGGAAATGAGAAAATAATCCCTTCGGGCTTTGTTGTAATGACTTCTGAGCATCTTGCATCATCATAGGCAGACAGCAGACTTCAGGATGCCATGCTTTATTAAAAGGAATGTGGAAAATCTTGTTTTGGTTGGTGTCAATGTCTCTGGTAAGGGAGGACAACCATGCATCTTCCACAATGAAATTGGATCGGGTAGAAACCCATGTGATCTTTTTGAAAATAAATAGTTATTCTTTACTTGATGTCCTGTACTCATGTCTTTTGATGCACTGGTAAACTACATTCCTGACAGTATCCTGCTGATACTGTGGCCTTGAGAGACCTTGACTGCCTGGTCTATGCCTCTGTTCTGAATCAAAAGACAACATGGGACCATTGCAGACCTGGCTGCATAGTGCTGATAATTTCATTGGACATATTACTTCATGGAATTATTACTATTTTACTGATGTGAGAAGAAGTGCTGCAGGAGTGAGCTTGATGAATGTAGCCTGGTCAGCAGCTGGACTCCCATCAAGGAGAAATTATTAGGACAAACATAAGTGCACTAGTGTTAGTAAAAATGGAGATAAAAACACACACAATTTTGGCTTGTGTTAGAACCACCACTAAAGAGGAACACTTGATATCATACTCAGTTTTACAAGGGGTAATAAGGAGGAACCTGGGGACTGCTGACCAGTCAGCCTCACCTTAGTGCCCAGTAAGATCATAGAATAGATCCTCCTAGAAGTTATGTTGAATCACATGGAAGACAAGGAGGTGATTAGAGAGAGCGAACATGGTCTTAGCAAGGGCAAGTCATACCTGACTTAACCTAGTGGTCTTCTACAACAGAGTGACAACTGATGCCATTTACCCAGACTCTTCCAAAGTCTCTGGTAGACTCCTCCATGACAATCTTTCCTCAGAATTGGAGAGGTATGGATGGAATATTACATAGATAAGTAATTGTTTGGCTGGTTGCATCCAAAGAGTTTCAGTTAACAGATCAATGTCAGAATGGAAACCATTAATGAGTGATGTCCCTTAAGGGCCTGTACTGGGACAAACACTAGTATCTTCATTAAGTGCCCCAGACAGTGGGATCGAGTGCACCCTCAGCAGGTTTGCAGATGACAGCAGGCTGAGTGGTGCAGCTGATGGGCTTGAGGGAAGGGATGCCATCTGGAGGGACGGGCTTGAGGAGTGAGCCTATTGGTAACCTCATAGAGTTCAACAAAGGCAAGTGTAAATGTGTTAATATGCAGTTTGCTCACTATACAAAACCATCTTTGCTCAGAAGAGGGATCAGGAAGGCCAGGTGACCACATCAGTGGTATTATGTATGCTTTTACCCTTGGGTAATCAGAAAGATTTTGCTAGATGGCAACTTTCATCTTAGCTGTGGGCGAGGAGATTTGTTTAAGTACTGCTAATGTACATTGCTTTTATTTTTTTACCATTAGTCTCATAGTATGCTGTGAAAATGGGTGTCTCCCACCAGTCTTCTTCCTTCCTCACTGCAATTTGTTCAGGCCACACCCTTATCTCTCCATTTTAGCAACAGGGATTGTTGTGGTCGTGCTGTCTGAACGTGTTCTGCCACACTGCAGTGTCCACAGCACCAGCTGTAAAGCAGATGTGCGGCCAGCACTGCTGGATTTTAAAACCTTTAAAGGCTCAGGCTCTGGCCTCACTGCTGGGGAAACCTTGGCTTGTGCTTAAAAAAACCAGACACGTGCACAAACACATACACACACACTGAGACGTATTCTATTTTTCTGAAGGGACCATTGTGTGCCTCTTTATCTTTTCCTCCCACCCCTTCATCCCTTCTGACACTTTCTGTAGCTGAGACCACTAGTAATCTATTTAACTGGATTTTCCAGGCACTTCAGAGTAGTAGGTGTTACTATATGTATAGTGCCTGATCACTACTGTTGAGGCTTAATAATAAGTAAAATCTGTAGCATTCCTTGGTCCACCAAGCAGTGATCAGGCATACCCCTCACACAAATATCTGTAGTGTACAAGAAGCAAGTGCCACCTTGTGTTGGCCACAGCAGTCCTTGAGCCCTTCTGCTGAAAGCTGCACTGCTTATCTTCTGAAACTCAGCAGAATCTCCAGGGAGATTTGTTTTTATCCGTGGCTGATGAGACCATGCTTACCTTTGGTGTCCAGTTGTCCATTTAGCTCTGACTGGCCAGAGTCAGTGAGGTTTTATGAAGGACCATTGTAGAAGCTCATGACCGTGACTGAAAGCCAGGAGCAACTCAATGCTCTGACAGTGATTATTTACCGTTTTCCCATGTTACATGCTGTATTTGGTCTGTTACATGCTGTATTTGGTCATGTTCAGTAACTCTGTAGTAATCAGACAAGATGGAACGGCAGCTTGTCAGCCGATTTAATTAAAACCACATTTCTTTTTTTTTTTTTTTTATTGCCTCTCTCACATCGTTAATATTCTAAGACCCGCCTGCAATCTAAAGATTGGAATCAGTCTCATTGTGCTCTTTCCGAGCTTGAATTCCCAGACACACAAACCTGGGAAAGAGTTTTAAAGGGACAGGTAATAGTTAGAAACTAATTTGATTACATTGAAATGGACCACTCATTTGTCCAAATAAATGCTTATTAAGAGACCAGTCTTTCAGGTTGCTTTTAAATGCAGTGCGGGCTTTGCTTTCATGGATATGACTGGGAATAGAATATATTTAGGATTTCCCAGGAATCAGGTCTTTGCTCTGTAGACTTCTGCTCATTCAAATTGTTGGTTATGCAAATATATTAAAAAGACTCGAGTAAATAACACTGCACCCTTGTTAGTAAGGTTTATTGTTTAGGTATTTAGCAACAGTGTTTTATTGTCCCTTTTCTGAAGTGTCAGGTAAGATCCATTTCACGGTGACAGTGTTAAGGAAACTTCCCAGTCTGACCATTCCCAGACTCTCTGACAGTCACACTCCCAAGGCGGGGGATTTTCACTGCTGGGACCGAAGTCCCTTCACCGCGGGTGGCTCCAGTGACCGATGGGTCCCTTCATGGCTCCGCACACACCCCACTCACACAGTCAGACCCAGTTTCCTCACCGGTTCTACCCCGGGGTTTCCCACAGCAGATGACTGGTTCCATAAGGCCATTTATTCAGGGCACATTAACACAGAAACAGCCCGAGCTGGTGCCTCCGAGGAGGACCCACAACAAAAGAACCCTATGGCTTTTGCACCCTCACAGTCTACCTGCACTCAGGTCTCGCTTTTCCTCCGGAGTCTCTGGCTCCTGCCCCCATCTCCGTGTCCATCCCTCTGGCTGGCGTTACCCATCTTGTTATCCCAAAGGTTGGCAGTTCGCGGCCTCCCACCCAGAGCTGGAGCTGCATCTCAACCTGCAGTTTGCGAGCTGAGCTACCTGGACCACGTATTCTTCAACAACAGTACATCAGCCACCATATGCACTCGATTTACAACCAGATTACAAGGCAAAAAAATAAATCTCTCATTTAAAATAATATATAGCAGTTTATTTAAACAGCGATTAACTTTCATCAACAGGCTGTGCATTTCTGTTTTCTTTAAAAACCCTGCCACTCAATCACAGCTGCAGCCCTCCTGCAGCACCCTGCTACTCAGTGGCTTGAACCCAGCTCTACAGATAGTTCACAGCCAATTACCATACAGGTTTCTTATGTTAAAATTAAGGCAACTGAAGTCAACAACCTCTGCTGAATAAAGGTAAAAGCTTGAGAACATTTTGCATAACAGTCATCAGCATAGCTGATAGCTATTACAGAGTTCTTGTGCAGTAAGCCTACGCAGATACTATCTCTCTTGCCTGTCTGTTTCAACACGCATCTCATCTCATTTGCAACCCTTTGCTTTAATTAGCTGAAGTCTGCTTCAGTCTTTCATATGTCAACCAGCCTGTGTACACTTCCATATTTTTAATCAGTAGCCTGTTGTCTTTACTTTGTCATTCACACTAGCATATAAATCTGCCCTTCTTATGATCCTCACTGCTTGGTAGAAGTCAAAACATGCTGTTTAATTTTCCCGTTCACTGATTTCCATTTGTTTCATGTTCAAATGCTGGCTCTTTTCCCCCTTTCAGGCATGCTGTGAGCATTAAACTTAGTGATTAAATGCCAAAAGAACAGTTCTTTTCCCCTTCCATACCCACAAATGGGTCATCCTAACCCTCCCTGGGATGCCTACCTCGACAGCGGTGCCCTGTGCTTGTGTGCTCAGCCTATCTGGATGGGACTGCTGTGGGCTGGCAGAGGTTAGCTAACGATGGCTAATAAAACAGGTGCAAAACTTCATGCTCTCCTAAGGTTGTGACTGGCTTCTTGCTGTTTCTTTGCTTTTTTTTTTTTTTTTGGTTTCGTTTGGTTTTTTTTTTGTTTGTTTTTTAATTTAATCTACTACAGCAGAATATTTCATTTCACTGATGACATAGCCGAAGACACCAAGACTTAAAAATAACTGGATGTAAAAGAATGAGAGGGTGACATGTGGCTCTGCACCAGCTTTCAAATTTTCCGGTTTACTGGGGGGGAATCTGAGGTTGTCTGTAGATGTCTGACAGGTGGGGTTGCTGGCCCTGGCACCTGTGCCTGTGGCTGATCCCCCAGCTGAGCCTGGAGTGTGTTCAGGATGTCATCTAGCTTCTGGTCCATCTGCATGACCTGTTAAGGAATCAGAAAGCAGACGAGCTATCAAATGGTTGCACATGCTTCTGGTGAGAGACATTCATAGGCCAAAAGCTCTGGATGGATAAAACCTGGCAGGGAGCATGGGCATCTGAGTACCAGCAGCTCCTCTGAGTTTAGTCTAGCTTTCTGCTCTAGACCAAATGACACTACGAAGTCACAGGGAAAGGTGTAAAGCCATGTGAAGTGGCAGCAGAAGGACAGGACTTTGCTGGCTCAAGGAATTGACCACTTGAATCAACCATTTTGTCTCTCAGCCTTTTCCCAGGGTTGTTGATGATGCATTATGCAAATATCTGCCCTGAAACTCTCTTTCACGCTTCAGTTTACCGTGAATGTTTTTTCCCAGTACCTCTCTCAGTCTTCATCACCCTTAGTTGTAGGACATCATGCTTTCCATTACTGTCTTGGGAAATGAAACAGCTCCCCTCCCTTCACATTGTAAATAGATGCCGCTGTGATACATGTTACAGTCAGAGATCCTACCAGATATGGTGTTTGTTCCCATGCATTTTGAGGAGGATAGCCTACTAAAAACCACATAATAATACCAATGACTTCATTAAAAAAGAAAAAAAAGGAACAACCACTCTATAGGAAGCTTGAGGTGGTAATCCCTCCTCTCATTTCTTTGCCTTCCAGCTGAAATTTCTCAGGCATAGTCCCTAGGTAGAGGAGTCTTTCCTAGCTGTTATTATTATTAAGCAGGGAAAGGCAAGTCTGGATTTTTAAAGGGACACTGCTCTCATACTTCCTACTGCTTTTTTAAAGTTCTGACCTTTGCTAGGAGCACACAGCAGGCGTTATCCTGTTGTGCTGGTAGGGCTGGTGGGGCTTGCCTTCACTGCAAATGGCATCCCACTTGCCTTAGCATCATCCAGTGGGACGGGCTGGGGGCTGCTGGCTGCCTTACTTTGCTCCAAAGACAAAACTGTGACCAGCATCATATAATCAACTGGGATCTCTTCTAATGATGCTTGAATACAGTGCAGCTTTGTGTTATAGATGAGCCCTAGAAAAATGAGCATTTTGAAGAACATTGAACGGTTCACTTTACAGTTATCTGCCATGAAACTATGAGCCTCTGCAAACTGTGATCTGTCCCAGTGGGTCTAATAAACTTTGATAGCAAACCTTTTAGAGCGATATCAGATCTAAACTGAGCTTTCATTAAAAAAGGAGACAGAGAGAATGAGAGAGAGAAGGATTCCAGCCTTTTTCCATTCAAAGATAACTTTGGAAATAGCCATTGGCAGCAGGAACTGAAAGCTTAGCAGGCTGAGATTGCTTCAAAAACCAAGGCAAAGAAAATCACCTTATCTACTTTTGCCTCCTCTGTCTTTTCTCACTCCAAGTGTCAGCTCCCCTGAGGGCCTCTCAAACCTCAGGGTACCAGGAACTTACTCAAGTTCTATCTTTTTGGCAACCGCTATCCTCTCCTATATACAACCTGCTGGGGGAAGGAGGACTGGAGTGTGCCTCCTACATCACAGAGGGAGAGATGTGCTGGTCTCTTTTCCATTTCTACTTTTATGACTGCTGTCTTCTAGTAGAAAAGCCCCATTCCCTGCCTCTGATTTGGTGTGGGTGTGTGTGAGGTAGTGCTTTCAAGCAGCAAGAGGGGATTTCTGCCCCAGTGTTTTCAGGTGTGTGGCTGGTACTGCCTGAGCAGTCTATCACTCCCAGAATCACTGACAGTGCTCTTGTCTCGGGCTACATATTCATACAACAGCTACATATTCTGCTCAGCATTAACTTGGTTGGAAGTCTGGAAGTCACTAGTGGTTTAAGAGTTAAGCAGCATGGAATTAATTTAAAAACCACAGCCTTTATTTTCCCCTCCATTCTTGAAAAGCCTGTTTGGCTGATGCTGGTAGTGACTCAACAGAATCTTTCTTAAGCAGAAATGTTGCTGCAGAGCAGAAACTAAAGTAGAACTAATATTTTGCAATAGGGTAAAAAGAGGTGTAGGCAGGGAAATGGGATCAGGTAGACAAAAGATCTTTGGGGCATTCTTTTGTGATGCTTTGTTGATTTCGATCTGCAGGCTTGATCTTAGATAAGCTATGCCTGCATATTCCATATAATTTAAACTTTCTGTATATCTCTGTATTTTACCAAGTCAGTGAAAGAATGTGATGGGGAATAATTTTATGCACTTTTCTTTCCAGGAGAAGAGGAGGGTGGGGAATGTAAATATTCGTTTGTAGGGATGGAAAATGAGAAATTCGTACATAAGGGAGTAGATTACATTACACTTCTGTCACACCTTCCGCATGAGGATAGGCAAATATTTCCTGTATGTCAACAAATAAAGCTTCTGAGTTCTTCTCTGTCAACCATACACATGTGAGGGTTTTAATGATAATTTTTGAGATTAGAAGCACGACTCTGCAAAATTAAGCAAGCCATAAAAAAATGTGATCAGTGGCAGATCTCTTCTAATTGGCTTTGTATTTTATACACAGGCTCAAACCACCACTTTCTGGCTTCAGACATTCTAAAGTATACCCTACTTGCAAACATGCAACTAGACTAGTAAAACTTGAGTGAGAAAGACAAATTCTTAAGCACCTTGTTAAACGGGAGAGTATTAAAAAAGGGTCAAATTTGGAGGCTGCTTAACTGTGATTAGGACATGACTTGCAGGGGGTTAGAATCACATGGGTGAAGTTTTTTTCATAGGAGGGTCCTGGTTTCTCCAAAACCCATTTAGCAGCTATGACTTTCCTTAAGCCCAAACAGAAGGAGTTGCCTGTTTGGAGTAACACACCCAGGAAAGTGTGCTGACAAAGGGTTAATTTGAGCAACATGTTTTTAAGATGAGTAAAGTGAGAAGCCATCCAGAGATTGCTGCAGAGTTTCCAGAGAGATGTGATATGGCCCTAGAAGGCTCAGTGGAGACAGGTGAGTTTGGCAGCTGTCCATAGGCAAACGGCAACAAAACTTCTGTTCTCCCACACCACAATAGTGCTCTGGAGATGATCTATAAAATTGTTAAAATGCTTTTATATCCTTTCAACTGCTCTGTAGAAAGGAGACTTGCAAAAGCAGTTTAAAATATTACACTGCTGTTACTGGGACTGTGAGGTGAGCTGAAGGAGTGTTGAAAAGTGTGTTCGTTCTGACATCGCCTCACCACCCTGGCACGCCCTCTGTCCCTCTGGGAAAGTGTGCTGGACTCCATGGTGACATGCAGGACTGTTAGACAAAGAGAATGCCCTGCAACCAGCTCTAGTGAGTCACAGTAAGCCATGAAGTCACTCAACCCATGAGACACAAGGTGTCCCTGCCCTTCACCTTGAGCACCATGTTGGCTTTCAACACCTATGTGCTGTTTGAGGATCCTTTAGAGCCTCTATTTGTGAAAGCAGGTGTTCCTTAAATACTTCTTTTTACCTTGGTTTTTTCCTGCTGCAGAAATGCCTTGTGTAGAAGGATCCTAGGAATGGCAGCAGTATGGAGGAGGAGGGTTGGGTCATGCTGGGGATTTGCCACATGCTGGACAGATTCCTAACTTCCCCGAGAGCTTTTTTTTCTGACATGTTTTGCACACAGAGACCATAAACAAAATGCATGTGTGGAAAACTCGGTTGGAGCAGTCACATGGTCTTCCCCAAATCCTCTCACTTTAGGCCAGAAAAATCCCTCCCCCCAGGTTTTGTCTATCTTTTTATTATGATTTCTGGAGGCTGGGAAAGCCAGTATCAATTATGTGCACAACACACTGACATGAACTATTTCCAGAGGAATATCAGAAGGGGAGGATGGCCTGCTGGAGCACTGGAGTAAATCTGTAAACCCACAAACATGCTCAAATGTTGCTAAGTCAGTGAAGCTTTGTATCAAAAGCTATACCCCATAAATCAAATAAAGTTGCTGTCACCTCCTTAAGGCTCTGCTCTCTCCCTCCCTGGAGCAGTCCTGCATGGACTGATCAACATGGCTGAGGTGCAGTTCAACAGCTTTCGTGCAGTTGTCTGCTACATGTCTGGGCTGCTGGTACCAGGGATGCAGCACGAAATGGAGGAGGGAGAGAAGACAGCTCAATTTGTGTTACTAATCAAAATGTCATGGAGCAACAGCAGGTTCTGCTTTTGGTTAAGCTGGATTGACTTTAGCTTCCTGTTTGCCTCACTCAAGTGCAGAAAGCTATGAAGCTGTGCCCACAGGACAGCCCAAGGTGTCATAGCAGGAGCAGAGGATGGAAGAGACACTGCATGGTTGAGCCCCATCCCCTGCTATTGGAACCACTGTACAATGGGTGTTTTGGTTCTGGAAGCCCCACAAGACATCCAGGTTTCCTCTCCTTGACATGCAGCCCTCATCCCACGCTAAACTGTGAACCTAAGCACGGCCAATCAAGAACCATCGAAGCCCAGTGGAACACAGGAGGTGAAGAAGGACATTCCCAGGGTCTCTGCGTGGTGTTGTGGTATTTTCCAGCTGACACCACAAAATCAACCACATTTGGGGCCAGAGCTACTGTGGCCATGCAAACACAGTATCCCAGCCCAGGGTTTCCAAACCACCAGAGTGCTTAGCTCAGCCCCACTGAACACTCCTGTAGCAGTGACCCAACGCTGAGCTCTGGGATTTGTCACCATGCAGACCATTTCCTCTATTTCCAGCCTTTGCTGCAGCTCCTGGCTTTCTAGGTAGCTCTAATGAAGCAGGATCCACTCACTACAGTTCTGACTTATAAACAACCGATTGCAGGGCTTTAACACCAACTGTTTGGAAAAGACTCATTTGATGGGGGAAGATTTATTTTGTATGGATAGAAGAGTGTATATGAACCTTAGTCTGCCATGAGCTGTTCTACCTGCATGTACTTGTTTCTGAATATTTCTAGCTTGTTATTTGTGATAGGTCACCTAAGGTCTAGTTTGTAGGAGAAAATGGTATTAATTTAGCAAAATCAGATGTGATTTAGTTGAACTAGCGCAATCCATTTTATGGATGCTTCCATTTCTGACTCATGTGATATACTGATTTAGCTTAAGCTTGTTATCCAGAAATTTGTGCCATTTCCTCATATTGACCAGGTCTGTCAGACAATTTTTCTTCTCATCCCAGATGGTGGACTGATTTGATTAGATTCTGTAAAGCCTATGTTTAGCTTTGTATGCACATCTGGTCTTGTAGTTTCTCTCTGCCTAGGGTTACACTCAATTATTCAAACTAATTGCCTATTGTATGGTTCGAAGCCTGAATTGTTTATTTTAGGAATAGCTTTATTTTTTATCATGTAGATTTATTGCTGTCCAGAGACTGCTGATTTTAGGAAGGGAAATCTTTTCTCCACAGCATTGCATGCAAAACTGCCTCCCTCTCACCTTGCTTGTCCTGTTAGAGAAACTTCACTGAGGTAAAATGCTAAATCCACTGAAACTTTTTTCCCTTCATCAAGGCCAGACAATACCAGTGTTGATAAAGCCTGTTGGTAGTTGTCTGTGGAGGAAGCAAATGGCCACACCAGCCACAGAGACTGCAACTAGCTCAGGGAGATTTCTCTTGTGAAAGGTGTGGCTCTAGTGCGCCTCTGAGCCTGGTCCAACAACGTGCTTATGGATGTGTTAGCTTGAAGCATGTGAAGAGTCTTGCTGAGTTCATCAAATATTTAAGTGCTTTGCTGGAGTGAAGCCAGAATGGTCAACAGTTTGCAGAACTATACCTTTAGGATAAGCTTTTGGAGTCACCTAAAGTACTCCTAAACACATATGCCCAGAAATACATCTACACCACTATTTTTCAAGTCTCTGAGGAGTAATAATTGTCATCTATCATGGTATTCTTCCTGAAATTACTTTCACATTCATATTAGCACAAACTAGCAGTTTGTGTCTCTTAAACAACAAGAGGGCTTTGATGAACAGGCTCCCATTAACTGACTGTTTTTGGGATGAGTTGTAACAGATTTGGAATTGGCCTCAATTCTAAAATGATGTTGTATTCCCAAAGCAACATTGCCAGGTGGCAAGTATGCAGGGAAACATCTCACGTCAATGTCTCAGAGCCAACTGCCAGCACTGAGCTGAGCAGCTCCTCATTTCGTTCTGCTGAGGGTGCAAACAGCACAGAAAGACCAGCTTCAGTCCGTGGGACCTTCTGCCAGTAACCTCAAAGGTCAGGTAAACAGGTACATGAGTAGAAGCTAAAAAAAGCCCACTTCCACGATAGCCTGTTGTTCTGGCAGACCCAATTCTTCATGAACACCAAAAAATATATAAACCACTAGACTGTCTTGTTTGACTTATCCCATGTACCCCTTGGCAGATATTGGTTGTTTATTTTCATTCCATGAAACTTATCTAGATAACTCCACAATTTTCCAGGCCTCCCTTCCTTTATCCCAAACATCTCCACCCATTCTTAGGTCAGGTGTTACAACCTTTGTTGGCCTAGAATATAGAAATCTTTATTTTAAGTACAGCTTCATTTATTTTGGTTTCCATCTACCTTTCCTGTTTAAACGAAAACACAAAGGTCTATCCCTCTTCACTTTGCTCCTGGGGTATTTCCCGTTTGTATTCTTTTAGAGAGCATTATATTTTTATATTTCCCATGCCACAGTTGCACTGATGAACCCTCACAGAAAGACCTGTGTCTGTGGTTGCTGCTTCTGGTGTAAGACGCCGTTTGCTTAATTACTAAGCAACTATCAAGAATTGAGCCCTGGGTTTCTAAAGCAGGCCTGGTCAGAATGCAGATTTTGTGTTACTACTTTGGGGAAGGTGTGATTTATTTTTAAAAAATGAATCCTCGCTTCCTAAACAAATGAGGTTTAGTTGATGATATATCTGTGTGTACGTTGCCACAGCAGCTTTGAAGTAAGCTGGCCAACTTCAGACATTTGCCAGAGAATCCTTAAAGATAAAAAGTTCAGACAGATTTCAGAAGGTCTGGCAGTTGTGCAGAAGACAGACATCCAAATTAGTGCCTCATTGAAGAAAGGGCAGAAGAGGAAGGTGAACTGTATTATTAGACCCCGGAGAATCCACACAGGATGCCCTGACCACAGGAAAAGCTTTATTCAGCTATTGCCCCTTATTAGCCTTGGATAATCAACCACAAAATGCAGAGTCACAGGAAACCAGGCAGCATAATTTCTACTCACAGAAGTACTTGTTTCTGGCTAAAGAAATTCAAGTGATGCTACTCTTTGAGTAGACACAACACTAACTTCCCACAGCTGCCATTCTGCAACAGCACTCAGCTGCCGGCTGTGTTGGAACCATTGTGAGAGTTTGTCTTATTTTAGCTATTTGTATATGCACCTGTCAGTCTTTGTGTCTGCAGCCAGTGCTTTGAAACGTTTTGGGTTTTTTTTCCCTGATTTTTCCCCAGTAGGTAAATTAGACTTTGCAGAACTCTCTGTCTCCTATTTACATACATAAATGGTTATTTTTATTGTTGCAGGATGTTTTGTTCTTCACCCTCCTCCAGATCCTGCTCAGATCCACCCTGTAATCTTGCCATCTCTCTTTGCGACATCGCTCTTCAGCCGCACCCGGGATGACGCACTGCCATTTCTCAGCTCATTTCACTGTGTGCCTACAAGTCCTGCTGCAAAACCAGCGTGGAAAGAAACAACAGACAAAAACAACAAAGCCAGTCCAGCCTCAAAGGTGGATCTGCAGCCTCTGTGAGTCACACTGTAATTTCACAATAAAGCGACCTTGGAACTTACGCTCCAAGGTGCTGATTAATTTAATTTTTAAATCTCTAAACAATACTGGACAGAGAGAAAAAATAAAGAGAAAAAGCAGCATGGAATATTTAAATAGTGCCAAAAGAGCACTGAGAAAGAAGTGACCTTAGCCTTTCACTAGATGGTTGCATTAACTCAGCAGTTTAGATGGGTGTGATGAACTTGGTGTTTGCACCTCACCTAACCCTTTGAAGAGATGGTGTCAAGTCTTCTATGCTCTGGTTATTTTGCCTTTACTTCGGCTTTTTTAAGCTCAATTAAATCCCCTCCATAAGAACAACATCTAAACCACACCAACCTTGTGGCTAGATAGGGTTCACCAGTTTCTGTAAGGGGGAGGACATGCTGGACTGTGCGGGAGCTGCTTGTTTCTTTTCAGCTTAGTTGCATGGATACTGATACTGAAATCAGTGGGAGAATTCCCTTAGCCCAGCCCTACTGACCTGACATCTAGTTCAGGTAGCATGTACTTAGCACAGCTGATGGGTTGTGTATGAGGAGGTAACATTCAAAGGCTTTATCACAGGTGTTGATACACAACTGCCCTCCATTGACACTCACATACACACACACACACAAAGCCTCGCTTCAAATTATCAGTCCATCTTTACTTATAGGTTGGCAAGAAAGGCAAAGAGAGAGGGAGAGAGGGAGTGTTGTTATTGGGAGGAACACAGGCATTATGGTGATGGCGATCTAGATAGCAAGACATGTAGGTACTAGAAAAGTTCCAGCCAGTTCCTGTAGGACTCAACCAGTACCTCAAAAACCCAAGGTCCAGTCTACACCCCAGCACAGCCTTCTTGCATTGACAATAAGTCACTTCCTGGATAAGCCCCATCGATATTTGTTAACCACTTGGGTCAAATAATCTGCCATTTCTTATCTTTCTGATGTGAAAACACTTGAAACTGGATAGGTTTGAAACTTGGTACAAAACAGAAGACTCAGACCTACAAAAGGTAAGAGTATGGGTAAGAGTATCCTGTATGGGGACTGAAATGCTGGTTGCAGAAAGGAAGGAAGTTGTATTGGAAGAAGAAGATCAGTCACTGTTGGAAGAGGACAGGGGAGAGAAGATGGTGGTGGTCCTTTGCCTTTCCTTTGCCTATTGTTGGCTCTTTGAGGATTGACATGGACATGGCAGAATGAGGCTGGAAGTGTGGCATGGTGGTCATGCCAGGAAGAAAAAAGTAATCAGGAAGCAAAAGGATGATTGACTAGAGATCAGAGGTGTCACTGGGAGGCCACTCTCTGGGCCTATATTTTCAACTCCGTGAAAGAATCGTCATAGCATTTTAGCCAAACCGTGTAGCAAATTAAGAGATGGTCTGTGTGCAGATTTGTGCTGATGTCAGAAAAACCAAGCCTACAACATGCCTTTCATTGTTTCAAGGGAACTTGTGCCCTCATTTGATGTGCCCTGTTTCACTGAAAGAGAGGAAGGAAGCTTGATAGAAGCTAACTCACAAGGGTCTGGAAAGAGAAAGCTGTGCCTTTGAACTATGAGCTGTTAGACAGGGTGAATGAAAACCTCTGCCCTTATTTTCTTCTCTGCTTGGCATGGGACAAGTCTCTAGGGTCACCTTTATATAAAATCTTCACTGAAACTCTCACACCCTTTGAATGACGCCGCAAGACTTGCATAACTGCACACGAGGCAGTTTGAGGAAGAAGCTACAGAAGCACAATGTGGTGTTAGGTATTTAAATAGCAAGGATTACAAAACCCCATTGTTTCCCCATTAAAACACAGAAACCCAAAGCAAGTAAAATATTATCAGACAGTGCTGATTGAAGGTGTAGCAGTTCTTGATTCTTACTGACTCAACCATGCTTTGCTAAACCATTTGGTTTTAGCCTGTCTGGCTTATCTGTCATTTGATGGATTTTATTAGCTTGCTTGTGTACACCAGGCCTGATTAACAGCACTGCCACATGCAAATTTTTAATGAATTGTTCAAAAAGTCATGGTGGATGGGTGAACTCTGGACTGCCCCGTCCAGTTTTGCAGTCACAGTGACCTGATGTGGAGGGTGTCTGTCTGTCTGTTCAATCATACCAAGCCACAGCATTCGGTCCTAGATCAGCAAAAGCCACAGGCACAAACAGTGCAGGAAAAACAACTATACTGCAAGAAACGGTTCATTACTTGAGGTGAGATTGCTCAGCATCTGAAAGGGTCTGAGCAATAAGTTGGGTGTGACAGCATAAATCAGTGCATAAAATGGCTATAGCTGCAGTACTGTGTGTGCAGAACATCAGAAGAGATTGCAGGAAGAATGAATTTGACTGGATTTGTCTTTTTCTCCTTGCCAAGCTAGTCAATTTATTGCATAATATGTTCTGTAGCTAAAGAGATGTCCATGGGCATTTAAAACACTGATTGGAATAGAAGACTGAGAAAAGCAGATATTCCAAATCCAGAATCTCAACAGTGGATATTTTCCATTTCTTTTGTGCTTGAAAAGTAACCAAGAATTCTGAAAAATCAGCATGGCTACATCCTCGGGGAGAGACTGAAGTAAAGCATTAATTAAAGTAAAGAAAGGAAGGTCTCTTATTTGAACTCTGCTGAGCTAGATGGATTACCTATGAAAGCTGGCATTGACAGGACAGCGGTAAGAAGCAGCCTGTGGTAGAAGTACCGGTGTCTTATACAAACAACAGGAGACAGGGCGGGAGATGCAAAGCCACAATTGCCAGATAGATTTCTTCCTCGTGAGGCAAATGCTAAGTCAGCAGAAACCTGCTTCAGTTTTCTGTTGCAAGGCACTGCACTTTTAACTAAGGGGGAAAAAAAGTCAGGTATGCCTACTGTCTCTTTTACAGCTCTTTAACCTTATACTGCAGGGAATACTGCTGGGGAGAAGGTTGTTTTACATATATATATATATATATATATTATTTTTCTCTACTATGTTTCTTCTTTTTCATATATCATTGCAGAGAAAAAGTACAGCAATAAAAATGGACATGTATTAACATGAACATGGAGGTGTAGGGATATGAGAATGGCCTGGTGAGATTTCACTGTCCCAGCATTTAGTAAAATAATTTGAACTAGTGTTGCAGCTTAATTAAGGTTTTGGGTTACTGGCTTTGTTGAGGTTCTAGAGGTAGAACTGGGAAGCCATGGAGATCTTTATGCAACTTTCTGCCATGAGGGAAAGCATATATTTTTCAAGTCATAGGATAGAAATAATTAATAAAATAGGAATAAACTAAAATTCATTAATGAAGTAGGTACCAGTTGGGACTACTGAGAACCCCACAGATTTAATTGCTTAGCATCACATCTACATATAATAGAATCATAAAATCATCAAGGTGGGAAAAGACCTCCAAGACCATCAAGTCCAAACTTTGATTTACTTTTACTCACCATGAACTATGACTTTGATTTACTGACTCAATATAATCTATATGTCTAAGCCATATTTAAAAATGCCTGGGTTATTTGGTGCTCTGCAGTGTTTCTTGTCCCTTCAGAGCAGGCTCGTTTAACCCCATATGGAACTAGTAATCAGTGAGAAGGAAAATAAGATTTCTTTTTTTTTTTTGATAATTAATTACTTCAGAAAGCTTTCATTTCTGTGTTTTGATGCATATTTAAAATGCCAGCTGTGACTGGGTGCTTGTCTTTCTGCACCGGTAGTATAAACCAAAAACGACCATCACCATGAATCCATGACATTGAGGCTCTGGTTTTGGCTGTCTGGCCACTGTGTTTGTCTTCCTTCACTGCATGCCCAGCCCTGAAACTGGTATGAAAAATATGCTTAAGCCCTGCTGCTGCTGAAAGGGTGGCTGCACCCTCCTGCCCTCCCTGTTCTACAGAGCTCTGCAGTCCAGCCTTGGCTGGATTCAGGAAAAAGCCCAGGACAGCTGTGCAGCACAGCAAGGACTACTCATGCTGCCTCCAGTCTGGATCCCAGGGCCATGGATGCCCCCTCCTCCATGCTTAAATTACTCTTTTACTGCTTGCAGGTAACACAGGAACAGAGGGGAAAAAGCAAAAGCCCTAAATGAAGAGGGTCTAACGCTGGGCTCCAGCTGAGGCACTGTGCACCCCACAAAAAAATGGGGTTCCTCACCCTTCTTTTCCTTGCCTCTGGAATAATCAGCTGAAATGTCCATGGCAAGGCACACAACTTCACTTGTTTTTACTTATTATTTCTGAAAAGTTCATCAAAATCAATATGATTTCTTGAAACACAGCAGATCCTGCAAATTTTGCCAGGGAAGACACATTTTGATGTTAAAGCTTCCGCTAGCTCTAGTTCAAACACTTGTGACTTAGCATATACCAAAAGCACACGTGGTCTTGCCAGACAGTGTGGGAGCCTTGGGAGCCAGCCTTGCTCGCCTGTGAAGTCTGGCAGACCTGCAAACCAGGAGACAGGTCTCTACTTCCTGACTTGTTGGATGCCCTGGTAGGAGCACCAGGCTATAGCACTAGAATGGGCAAGTTCAATTTGGTGTTCCCCACCTCTCCTGATGATGAGGGGTCTGCATCTCCTCTCTACTGGCTAGAGCTTTGCACTGGCTGCCTGCTGCTCTTTATCACAGGCCCAGAGTGGAAGTGGCTTGATTCAAAATACTTTTGTCTGATGTATTTATAGGCAACCAACTATTTACAAAACTCTCTATATGCTGGTAGCCCCAGGTGCAGCCCCCACGTACGTCTACCCTGGATGAAGGGCTTCCCACAGTCTGGGGACCGCTATTCTTCCTCTCTGATTTTGGCCCTAGTGCATGGTGTTGCTCCACTTACCATCCTTGCACAGGCATAATTGTTATTTTGGGCTTGAGGGGTGCAGGACCATGTGCACCAGGGGGTAATAGTGAAGGCTTCCACATCTGTGCTGCCAGCCAAAATGCTCTTCCAGCCCCTGCCCATCACTTCCCTTCCA